GGCGTTATTCATCATCCACTTTAAACACTGGCACTAAATGCAAACATGAATGAATTCCACTTTTATGAGAACTTTAAAAGTTTGTCTCTCAAACATATTTAAACAACTAATTATTTGTGCAAACTTGTCCTGAATAAAATAGAAGCACACATTTTTTCCTCTTCGGAAATATTATAAAATTCCAATTTCCTAAATCAGAAATTAAAACTCCTCTGATTAATTTTATAGTGCTAACTTTTTCAAAATTTATTAAGAAGATAATTTTAATTACATTACTGCAGTGGAGAAGAGCTGATTACCCGTACATGTTTATTGCGCAATACCTTAAGTACATAAAATTAAGTCGTCTCTTTTGCCTCAAATGATATAAAAAACCAATATTAATAACCAAGTTGTTTTAAAAAGGCAAAGAACATGACGCCTGACTATTCTTTCTCATAATTGACGAGAGGCATATGAATTTTGGATTCCCTACGCATATAACTGACATGGCTTCTTCTTACTTTTTTTTATATAAATCACTTCTGAAAAAAGCTATAGGACTGAAAGATAATAGGCAACTCAATACGTAAAGACTACAGATTTACCAGCGGAAGCTGACTGATTCCCGCGACGTTGTCTACGGGTTTGAATCCTAGCTAAAGTAAAAACCTTTGTGAATGTAGTATCTTTGTGGCATAAAGGCACTTAAAATTTCTCGAGCCGAAAATTCATTTCAAAAGTCTAGTGGTAGAGGAAAAGGGAGATACGAGATCCTCGGGATCGCCTTACCTACGAATTCACGATTAAAGTTGGGATGATGCTTAGGTAGATTGCCCCCATGTTCTTTGCCTAATGAAATAATGCAACCTACTCCTGGTCTGGAATTGGATTCGAATCCTACTTGTGTGGAGTTAATTTCAGCTAACCATCATACTACCCGTCTCAGTGAAGTACTATGGACCAACTAGTGATTTATATTTGAAAGCAAATAACGCGCCTAGATTGTGTTATATTGATAGCACAATATTTTCTTGAATTTTAACTCAGAAACTATTTAAATCATAATAATTTATTTTCAAACGTAATCCTACTGTTTTTAAAGTTTGCCATTTGGTAAACGGAAGAATTTCTTTGAAGTCATTAATAATTAATGGTGACAAAGAGGATAATGATAATAATAATAGCAGTACTAATGAAGCATAGTTTCAAAGGAGATATCTAATATAAGTTGAATATGCAATATATGTAGCTGTCTTCTCAGATGAGAGACGAAAGTTCTCTGTTTTTATTGTTATTAAAAATGAAACTTCCTTACATTCAATGCAAGATTTTAAACAATTTTTAGATCCTGTCTCGGCTTTACATCCTGATTTTATATTAACAACAATAGGTATAGATTATTTTTCTCCCATTTCTATCCTGTGGATGCATGTAGCGGAACGAAAAAGAATAATATTCCTAGCTTTCTTTTCATATTTTTGAATGATATCTTGTTGAATAAAACTTTTCATTAAGTGGTAGAAAATAGGTTAGAATATTATTAGGGATTATATCTACTGTAAGGTTTTAGATTTGAAGGGAGAAAGAAGGGAGAAGTAAAATTGTTCGCAGGCGCTTTATAAGCATTTCAGTGCAATAACCGAATAGTTATGACACAAAGGACGCATTTGGATGCTTTTTTACGTGGTAGAATTATCGGCCGTCTGAAATGTGGGCGTACCCAACTGGAAGTATCAGACGAACTTGGAATTGCCCAGAGTGTCATCTCCAGGCTTTGGTAACGATTCGAAGATGATGGTAATGTGAGTAGACGTTACAGAACAGGTTGCCCCAGAGTTACAATGCCGAATGAGGGACCGGTATTTGGCAGTTATTTCCAAAAGAAACAGGTGGAGCACAGCCTCAGACCTGTCTCGTCTGCTCTCTTCAGCCATTGGTGCGACAATTTCAAGGCAGACCATGTACAGATGCTTAGAGCAGATTGGTCTATATGCTCGTAGACCTGTCAGATGTGTTCCAAATACTGCACTTACTTTACACTGTCGCCTGCGGTTAGCCTGGAGTAGAGAGCATGCATTGTGGACACCGCAACAGTGGGCTTATGTGATGTCTTCGGACGAGTCCAGGTTTAGCTTGCAATCTGATTCTCGCCGGCCTTTCATATGAAGAGCTCTAGGTACCCGTTGCCACCAAGAAAACACCAATGAACGACACTGTTAAGGTGTTGCAGAAGTGCTCGTTTGGGGTGGAATTATTCTGGGTTCCAGAACTGACCTGCATGTTCAAATTGGAACCATGACAAGCCAAATTTATCGGGACGTCATTCTGGAACAACATGTACGTTTGTTACGGGGCGCCATGGGCGCACAATTTGTGTTTATGGATGACAACGCCCGCCCTCACCGTGCAAACATCGTAAGCGAATGCCTTCAATCGGAAGATATCACCCATATGGACTGGCCAGCATTCTCACCAGACTTGAATCCAGTAGAGCACGTGTGGGACACGCTTGGCTGACGAATTGCAGTCCGTCAACCTCCTTCTACATGTCTATTGGAACTTCAGAGAGCATTGCTTTTTGAGTGGTGTAATATCCCCCAAGATCAGATCGATAATTTGATATTTAGCATGCCTAGGCGTTGTACGGACTGTATTGCATCGTATGGGAGACATACAATGTATTAACAATCATACCAACCATGTAATATTGGTTTTTTGTAAATAGATTTTTTTTGGTATTTTGCTCCAGGGAGGAAGAATCGCTAATTTTTTTTAATAATATCAAACATATAGCATCTTTTTTTTGCTCTTTATCTTTTGTTTAATAAATAAGCTTTACAAATAAGTCAAATTTGTTTTGCTTCTAACTCTTCCTTTGCCTGATTTTGCATTATCCTTAATTTATGGACATGAGTATATATACGTATATATTATTCACTTCATAATATAAAGGAAAGGCATAATTGATATTAATATAATTTCAAATTTCCATATACTTCCATACAATACAAATCATAATTTTAATTAATAACTTGAAACCCCTTGGACACTTTAACTAAGCGGCTCTCCCTCTTTGTATTCCAAAAGGTATTTACTTTTGAAATATCAAAAATACATTCTTTTGTCAATTAGTGTGGCCATTTACTGCTTTTTAACTACGTATATAAACAAGTAGGTCAGTACAAATGCCTTTCATTATTCTACATTTGCAATGAATCACTTTTTTATATCAGTAGATAAATAATAGGGAATGCGCTGTTCATTTCAAACATTATGTATCTCCGCCTATGTATTTTCGATAGGCATCTGAGATTCAAATCACAAATCCTGAAATAAGATTCGAGATATTTCAATCTTCTCATTTTTTGCCATTCTAATATTTGGAATTCTAAGCGAAAAACTGTTAAAAGTTTTAACTTAAAATTGTGTAACAGCAAATGGTAAACTTGACTGAAGTCCTGAACGCTTATTTACAAACTGAACGTTTCCAATTAAACTGAACGATTCTAAATAAACTGAACGATTTTACGTTTCTAAAATTTTACTGAACTTTTATTTAGAAAATGTGGATTTTTTTCAATGTTAGTGGTATCTGGATCAGAAATATCAATTTCGTGGTGGCCGTGAGTGACAGAATGCATATGAACTTTAAAAATAAATTATATTTCCAATTTTTTATCAATTCACTAGAAAGAATTTAGCATGTTTAATTTGTAATTTTGTATTTTTAGTATCTACCTATGTAAACTTTTGAAATAAATCTTTCCCTCTATGCACTTACTTTGATTTAAAAAAGAATCCAGAGAAATGAAAAAAAAAATTGATTGCAGCTTAGTTTTCTTCCCTAATTATTTTGAGGAAATGAATCTCAAACCTTTTACTTGTGTATTTCATTTATTAAATTTGGCTTTCTTAATAAATATGGAAACATTTTTAAAAGCCTTATTCTTAATTATTTTCTTTAAACACGCATGTCAATTTTTTTAAAATTATTCAATAAAATTTGCCTTCTCCCTTTTCTTTTTTAGCGTTCTTTTGTAAGGATCTGGTATTCCAGAAAGTTCTAAGATTCTGTTTTATTGCATCTTTAGGTCTCTTACACAAACAAAATCTTTCTTTTAAGAAGTAATATTAAAATGCTACTCATCCTGGTGGAAAACAAAAGAACTACTGGCAAAAAAGAAAAAATCGCAATTTAATTCAACTACTTTTCTGTTGTGTAATGACTCAAAAGAAGAATGACGTAGTCCTATAAATTCTTGATGTTCTAACGTCAAGTACACCCCATTAGTAAAATGCTTTTTTAATGAACTCAAGAATATTTTTCTTCATATTTCTCTGCGATTCTCAAGTCATAAAAATGCTTATGGATCAGTGCGTATCATCATTTCTTCTCTAGAATAATACATACTGCGTTAATGTTCCAGTTCATCATTGAAAGTACTGCAAATAATGTAATTATTTACTGTGCGTGAAATTACACGAATAAAAACTCAAAACTTAATTATCCAGTGATTTTTTAAGTTATAGTATAAGATTGTCTTCTGATATAACGGAAGCAAGTAATATCATATTTATTCTGTAATCAAAGCAATATTTCATGTATTTGAAAGGTACAAATTTTGATTCGCATTTTTTATAAAATAATTAGAAATTAATACTTGCCTAGCATACATTAAAGAGAAATTCATATAGTCAATAAAGATTCATGTGTAAAAAAACTAAATGATAAGAATCTCGGTCAGCGTTTTTAAACTTCCGACAAACAAACAAAACAAAAAAAAAAAAAAAAAAAAAAAAAAAAAAAAAGAACTTATTTATTTTATTCATTGTTTTTGACGCTCAAATAAGAATCCAAACAGGACATCTGTTATGGTCAATGAAGTAAGCAGCCACACTAACAACATCCTGAATGGACAAAGAAACAGACGTCCTGTTTTCTAGAAACAATCATCACACGGGCTTCATCTTCATCGCCAACTGTCGCCAAATGTTCTAAAACAGAACTTAGCGGCCGCTCCGGAAACTTATCAAAGTAGGGTATTAATGCGCTGCGCGCGAACTACATTCCTGATGAACATGGGATGTGTCCTTTCTGAGGATTAACAGTTGACGTCCTCTCTAGGAACGACTACATCGAGTGACATTTAAGTGCTGTTAAGTGGTCTGAATTCTTTTGGTGTTTCAGGTGATATACATCATCAGGTAAGAGACTTTTCTTCTCCAATTTCTTCCTGAGAAAGAGTGCCGGTGGGAGAGTGTTTGATGAAATGAAACTTTGGTTGATTATCCGGTGTTATTTATTCTGCTACTTTTTTTTTTATTTGATCACGAATTAGAAACAGTTTAAGCTACTTGTAAAGCGAAAATGTGTACAATATAATGGAAGTGTTACGTTTAATAGTATAAAAGCGACGTGCAGTAAAGATACTTTTCAATATTAGTGGCCATGGAAGATTAGGTGGATAAAATAAACCATTATTATATCGGTCTCTTTCCCTTTTTTTTAAATAAAAATATTATGATTTTCATAAAATCATTGTGAAAGTACTATACGTACTTTTTTTAGTTCTAAACTAATACAAAAACATTTAATGAAAATGTTACTATACAATCAATTTGGAGTGTTGCCTATCAAAATGTGGATCAAGCGAAGAAGATTTCTTATAGTTTGTCATTATTAAGAAATTCGCTTATTCTTGCTCTAATTCTGCATTATTTCTGTATGGGCGTTCTTTCTTTAATTATTCATTTCTCATTAAAATTCGTTAATAATTCATTCAAAATGGTAAAACGGTAGTAACGTTTACCATTTTGAATGAATTCATGTATACTGAAACTTAGAAATCTTGGAGAAAAAAATCAATGATTCTGTTTTGTCCAAAAATTAGTCATACTTTTTTTAATATGTAACAATGAAAAAAATATTTTAAGTAACATATATTATATTTGTGAGTAATTCTATAATGAATGATTATTCTTTTATGATTTATAAATTTTGGAATTTATGGAATACAAGAATACACATCTTTATTAGAATTGTGCATTGTAAATTAAAGAAATTTCAACAGATGAATTTAAATATTTCCACTTGTGTACGCCTGATTCCATCTATTACTATCTACGTAGGTTCGTTTATTAATAAGAGTATTTTTTCTCGTATTATGGATTTATAAAATGCAGTTAATCCCAGACTTAAAATACATGCATGAAATGATTGTATGTATTAAAGAAGTGTTTATTGAAGATTCGATTCACAAAGCAGATATAGTAAATAATTGGTTTTCTCACATTGTGTTCTCAGCACAGGGGTATTAATTAACTGTTTATCTTTGATTTGATCCCAAAGCTGGTGTATTAAAAGTTTTGTTATTAAATTAACCCAAAATGTTAAATTTGCTTTCATCTGCAAATAATATATCATATATATGCCCCAATATGCTTCGGGCTTATTTACCATTGATTTTGAGAAGAAAAGCCTAAGCTTTCTATTTTTCGCACTTCCGAAAAATTTTCTTCGAGCAGAGAGCCCATGTAAACCAGCTGATCTGAATACTCGTCTATCAGTTTCAAGTAAAAAGGAAGTAGAAAATATTTCAGTAAATTCTGTAGAAATCTTTAAAACACTCAAACATGGATTTTTCACAGATTTTTCAAACTATAAATCTCTCGTCACGTTGAGCCTTTTCTTACACACATTTGCATGAGTAGTAAATTAATTTTACATAGAATGCCATTTCGTATGAATTAATCATCTTGAAACTTCTGCATGCAAGTAAATATTTGAGGTGTGTATGATGTAGAACTTTGAAACAATGCATGCTATTTTAAATTTTGTTCAGAATGCCTTTGCAGTATAACAAACGATAAAAACTCACGATTTTATCTGGTGTTGCGGGCTTCAGATATTTTCCGCACAAAAATGTACGCAATCTATTTCTCTGATGTGATTTTTCAGCGTAATGATTAGTTTCCAGTATCATCATATTATCATTAAAATTTGCGTAATTACATTATTACCATTAAATCAAAAACTGCCAACGATACTATGGAAAAATTTTCCGTAGTATCATCGGCATTAATGTGAACAAATGTACTACAAGAATGGAAAACTTGTTGAACCATGTGGTAGGTGATTCTGCATTATTTTCATAAAATATAGGCACCTCCTCTAAACTATCTTCTCATTTAATTTTATTCTTGGAAAATATGTAAAAATCGAAAGATTTCCTGTTTTGCTTAGAAAAATTTTATAAATTTCAGAGCTATAATCACCATTTCCTCCATTTCGAACGCAGCAAAATTAAGTACGTAAACTACATTTAAATAGAACTTAAATCTCTATTATTTGCATTCAGGAAGAAATTAATAATATATTGGTCAAAACTTTGCCTAACCGAAATATTCAGGAAATATAACACACATTATTCAGCAGAAATCACGCGTTTGTCACCAATTTAAGCAGACTAGGTATACTTGGGAACATTTTGGGTTAATTTAATAACAAAACTTTTAATACACCAGCTTTGGGATCAAATCAAAGATAAACAGTTAATTAATACCCTTGTGCTGAGAACCCAATGTGAGAAAACCAATTATTTACTATATCTGCTTTGTGAATCGAATCTTCAATAAACACTTCTTTAATACATACAATCATTTCATGCATGTATTTTAAGTCTGGGATTAACTGCATTTTATAAATCCATAATACGAGAAAAAATACTCTTATTAATAAACGAACCTACGTAGATAGTAATAGATGGAATCAGGCGTACACAAGTGGAAATATTTAAATTCATCTGTTGAAATTTCTTTAATTTACAATGCACAATTCTAATAAAGATGTGTATTCTTGTATTCCATAAATTCCAAAATTTATAAATCATAAAAGAATAATTTAACATCGTCAATGAGTTAGAATCCGAGTCAGAGGGAATAAATTTGTTAATAAAAAGCACAATGTCTTGAAAACGCAAAGCCTCTAGCAAATACGTCACACTGACTATACGACACTCTGGGACATCTGCTTATTCGGAGATAATTTTTGTAAATATATTCGTGTTTTGGTCAGAGATTCATGCTGTATCTCACTAAACGAAAACATTCGTAAAATAGACTTTTCATTTACCGCTTCGATTGTGATTGTTTAGTTATATCAATTTGGGGAATGCAGTTATGATAAACGATAGTTGGTAACTCTATTATATTATACAAATATTTTGGCTTCCCCAAACACAATAATAACAATTGAAATAATTAAGGTATGGGCTGTTTGTAAATATTTGTCTGTAAAAAGTAATGTTACATTGAAGGCATATCCAAGTATATATACATATCTAATATACATATACATATCCAAGTAAAATAATCCTATGTAGAAATACCTGGCGCTAGTTGTTTCACAAGGAAAATATTTGGAAACGTTCAGGTATCTGCACATAGTTAGTATTACAGAGAAAACAATTAGCAGTCTTCAAGTAAAATTAGTTTATGCAAATCTCTTAAAATGAATGTATACTTATGTCAAAAAATATTTACTCATGTAAATTACGTTACTTAAAAAAGAGCATTCGTAAAAAAACATCTAGTTCGAAAGCAGCGGTTTGGAACTAAATAAGAAGGATATTTCACGCTACTTGACGCATGAAATACTAGTAATACAGACACATCTCCAAAACACGTGATTCGTATTTCCTGCATGAATCCAGAGATTTCATAGCGATGGGTTTTTAAAAGTTAAAGTCTGCTTAGTTCTAAAATCATTGAAGGCGAACTAGTATGCGAATGAAGTCGTTTTTACAGATATGGGTCCGGGTTTGCAAAATCTTTGTTTTTTTAATTCTCATGTGCAATTCGAGATTGATGCAGTTGAGATTTCGTGCAAAGAATTATAATGTTTTTAGATATTTTAAGTATTTTCCTCTTCTGTGTATAGTAGCTTTCAGAACGGATAAATTACCTTAAGGTAATTAAGGAAAATTTGTAAATTAGCGCTGTTCTCTTCCACGATGAATGGGATAATTTCAGATCATCAGAACTGTAGTATATTTGAATTCAATTTCGGTATATTTGAGAAACTAGAATAAATATTTCTTTTAATATTATCCGAAAAATTTCACTTAAATATCTCATTTCAGATTCTTTTAAGCATGTTCATTCTTCGAAATTGTTTTTTTGTTACCTTCTTTTTGTTTACCTAGAAAAACATGAAAGGAATTTAACTCTTCAAATGAGAACTGAATTGATAAACAGCAGTGAGTAACAGGCTACTTCCCATACAACTGCAGTCTATACAGACTACACATCACATCCACTATAGTATGCTTTGTTTGTTAAGCGTACCTTTTGCTATTGTGTTTTAATGACAGAGTTTTTTTGATCCGCGTTTGTCAGGAAGCAGATTCCGTTGAGATTAACATTATGAAAAGTATGCTTTCTTACAATGCAAATTTACATTTCATCTCCGAACTTCCGATATTTTCCATTTGCTCTATTGTTATCTTTGATTGTACTAGAAACTGGTTCTTAACTCTAGGAGTATTCGTGAAATTCTTTAATTAATAAACATAATTATTCTCTATTGTGGAAGAGTTATGGGCCATCAGTTTGAAACTTTAGTTTAGATCGTATTCGGTTCAAACGATTAATATAAAAATTCTTAAAATACAGTTTCGGAAATGGAACGTGAAACCCTGATTAAAATCTCTATTATTTAACTCACAGTTTTGTTGTTTATGAAGTATAAATTTCTAACAAATAAATTGATTATATATGCATTAGGATAATGGTCTGAAATTGGTGGCCCGCTGTCTGCATGTGTTTCTCAAAGCAGTTTCATGCGGTCGCGAATGCATTTTGTTAAGGTATTTGTTCCAAATACGGTGACCAATGTTCGAAGATGGATATAGTTCTGAAATAATAACTAAAATAAATAAATTTTATCATCGAAAGAGCTCTGAATCGTCGAATATGTTGCGTTTCTTGAAGAAACTGAAAGTTAATACAGATAAGTTTAGTACTCGTATAATGAGGTGAGGTAGTTATGTCGAGGGGCTATATTAAAACATTTTTTTTTTGATTTAAAAAATGAAATCAAAATTTTTATGACACAAAAGTAAGTAAATAAATTCATCGATGAGCTATATAATGATAACAGATTTAGCATTTCTCATTTATTTAATTGGGCATTTAAATATTCTTAATAGAGAGCTTCAAAGAAAGAAAAATTTATTATTGAACACGTATGCTTGCTTATATTAAACATTCTAAAGTTAAATTAAAATTTCGGGAAATAACAAATTGAATTAAAATACTTTATACATTTTTTACATCTTAAATACTGACTTATTATTTCAAATGGAAAATAATGTAAAAAAAAAAAAAAAAAAAATGCAAAAATAATAGCATTATTGCGAAAAGAATTTAAAGCAAAATGTATTGATTTTAGTGATTTGCAGTCAAACTTGCATTATTAAACCAAAGGGACAATTTGCCCTGAAGGACTATTAATCTCGTTTTGGCATTTTACGTTGAAAACTATAAACGGCGAATCACTTTTCAAACTGTCGCTACCAAATATTATCGCCCTGTATTATATTAAAAAAAATTAAATAATGAAGAATATGCATAAATGTATGTGTGTTTATCGCATTGTAATGAAACAATGGTACCCAGAGCCATCAAAATTTGAATAACGCAATCTTCCATAGAATATGGGGATGTGGAAGCCCGAATTTGAATTTGAAAATTGTTTTATTATCGATTTTATATTTTGTAACACTTTAACGAATTTTTGAGTAACAAACTCGAGGATTTCAAAGCGAGCAATGGCAACACTATACGACAAAAAACATTTTTATCTTCAGCCTGCGAGATTCCGTATCGGAAATGTTAAAGATATGCTCATTTAAAAAGTTTTCTTCGATATTGCTGTTGAGTTGAATTTTAATGTTTGAGTCCGTAGAACATGACATTTAATAAATAAAGGTAACACACAAGATGTTAAAGAAAACGCCCCTTTGAACGTAAATTAAAATCGGAAACTTTTCAGTTTTTTTTTTCATATTAAATTAAATGTGAATAGCTTACTAGAAAAATCTACGAATGGAGCTAATTAATTTAACATTGTGATAACAAATCTTATTCAAGGATTTGAAGATACAGATTTGATTAAATTTTATTCGCTCTTGTCAAAATATAAATACCCTCATTTACGATTTTTTGCAATAAGAATGATCTCTTTGTTTGGGAGTACATTTAATGTGTGGAAAAATGGCTTTCGTAGTCAAAGATTAAAAAGTCCGAGGGAAGACCCAATTGATCAATGAGCATCTACAATCTGCGAATGAAGATAGTAATTTTTCTCCATGATTACAAACTTTTATGAGAAACCAAGTGTCTTTGAGTTGTAGAAAAATAATAAAAAAGTTTATAATTGTTTACATACAAATATTTCTACATTTTTCTAGTATTTTCGGAAAAAAATAATAAATAAGAAAAAGACTGTTGTCATTATTAATTCTGACATTTTCTCCCACTTCGAAAGTTTTATTGGGAAATTAGAAAAGTTTTCGAAGCATTTGCTTGTCTCAGGTAAGTTATTTAGTGTCTAATTGAACATATTAGAATTATTTGAAATAAATAGCAATTCAAAGTTTAACATTTAGCAATATGGATGAAGTGCCAAATGTAACCAAAGGAAATTTCTTGCAAAATACCAAAATTAAGATTTCGGTTAGAAAATAAACATAAATTTGAATTTTTTGCAGTATTATTACTATTATTGTTTATTACATTTTGCTAAATATCTATAGGGCATTAAGCACCTAAAGGGAAGAAAAAAGTTTGACAGAAAGAAAGAAATGTCTCAATTTTAGCGAGCAAGAGGAAAAAAATAATATAAATTTGAGAAATAAGCAGTAAATACAGAGAAAAATATTGTAGAAAATACCACTGAACATTACTGAAATAAATTTTCAATTAAACCAAGTTCCAGAAAATTACATTTAAAAAATGCAATTTCCAAACATATTATAAACTTGCATGCAGCGCGTTACATTAGGTTATAAAGAGGTAATAACATATGAGAACATATGGGAACATATAAGGCACAATACATGTATATACTCGTATATATATATTGTTTCACAAGAATATATTAAAGTTAAATTAAATTTAAATAATTCTCTTGCGCCATTGTTGTAAGGAATGAAATTTGAATTTAACAAATATTCTCTATTCGTATAAAGTTAATTAAAGTTAATTAAAATTTAAAATTTAATTATGAAATTTTAATAATATATTGCAAATATAAAAGATTAATTATTGCTGCGAACTAATTTACAATATCATTTAAATTCTAAGAGCATATGTAAATTAAGTGCACGCACAACCGTGAAAAATAAATACTATTCCAAAAAATTAATTCCCCAAAATTTCCCCCCCCCCCAATTTTTTTAAAATAATTTTTGAGACCAAATTAGTTTGCAGAAGTGAATAATTGTTGAGCAGGCAGGAGACAGATCTTATTCAAGGGGAAGTTGCCTCCAAACCTAACTCTTGAATTACTATACCTTTCCCTATATGGAGGACGAAACACGAATTGAGTAACTGAAGAGTTAAGTTTGGATGGAACTTCCCATTGATAAGATCTGTCAATTATTCACTCAACAATTATTCACTTACTTAGTTATTCACTCAAGAATTACTCACTTATGCAAATTAATTTGGTCTTAAAAATTCTTAAAAAAAATTTTTTTTTGGGGGGGGGGAGGAGAAATTTTGCGGATTAATTTTTTGGAATATTATGTATTTTTTCCATGGTTTTAGATACGTGCACTTAATTTACATATGCTCTTAGAATTTAAATGATATTGTAATTTAGTTCGTAGCAATAATGAATCTTTTATATTTGCAATTAAAGTTTCATAATTAAATTTTAAATTTAAATTAACTTTAAATTAGCTTTACACGAATAGAGGTTATATTATATATATATATATACATACATATCTATAAATCTACTCTCATTTTGTTAAAAAAAAAAAAGAAACCCTTCCATGAAGTGCTTTCAGATCGTGCATTCGGCCTGCATACAGTCTGAGTATGAGACCACTGCATTAGCGTATTATAAATGCATTTTGCTGTAACTGATGCATTGATTTTATTGATACCAGAAGCATACAGAAAGTATCATGCATTTTGTATTGAGTTTTTTCTGTTTGTAATGAGGTAGTTGTAAACACAAATAGACAAAATTTCTTTCTTCAAGATCGTTGTCCTGGACGTTATGTTGGTTAGCTGTGGCTGAATATACATGCTGCTGTGCCCAGCTTCAAATCCCAGATAAGTCATAAACATTTGTGACTTAAGAATCGTCGAGTCCTTTTGAGACTAAGAGTCCTTTTGAGAGCTTGATGATAAAGAAGCATGCATATAAGACCCTCGGATTACATCCCTGGAAGCCTTTCAGTCAAGGGATGAAACACAAGAAGGTGGCAGTTATTTGCTTTACAGAAACTAAATAATCTAATCCTGATAAAGTTCTAACTTTTATAATTGTTTAAAAAGAAATAATAAATACCAGTACTTTACAGTATTACAGGTAGTTTCAAGAGCTAACAGAATAATAACAATTCTTACTTTTCATCATAGCATTGCATAAGAAATAAAAGATAGGTCCGAAATCACGCATGCATATTATTGATCATGGCTGGGATCGCCCCAAGAAGTTAGTACTGAGTGGATTTGGGCTACTGATTTTTACCACATCATAACCCGGTCTTACTCAGCTCACATTTTGCAACTCATTTGGCACGCTTATTTTTTCAGTTTTTAATTTTTTAACACTGCGTAGATCACGGATAACTAATACAGCGGATTTCCAATCAGCGGAGGAGGAATTAAGATTGATTGTGTGTGTATCATTTGTGAATATTTTCTTACGTTTCTCTACATCTAATCAGAACCAGGATAAACCAGGAATTAAGTTTAATACATTGCTTCATTCTGTTTTAAATAATTACGCATTTGATAAAAGCTTGAAATTGCATTTTTACTGGTACAAGAATAAAATAAAAATCGCAATCAATTATTGTTATAACTAGGAATCTTCAGCTCATATTTCTTATTTCTTTTTCAGGCATTTTCTTAACTTCAGGAAAAGAAATGCACCATCCTTTTCGAAATTGTTTCATTTTAGGTATTTTGTGCCTGGTGGTAATGCATCGGAAGGCTTGGGCGGCCTCAGTCGTGGAAGTGGGCTCGGAGATTAAATCAACCGTCGAAGAGTTTCTAAAGTCAAAAAGTAAACTGAGGATGGACGAACAAAAGCCCTTGAAGATGAACATAAACAATCTGCCAGAAAAGAAAAAGCATCATCGGTTAGAGCTGCTTGAAGAAGCTTTAAGACTAATTTATCACGAATTATACGAAACTTCGAATATTACAGGAAGTTCGAATATCTCTGATGTAATCAGCAGGTAAGCATTTTCAAAGCTTCGGATTTCTCATTCAATTACTGACATCGCATTATTCTTCGGTAAAATTTATATGGTTAATCTATATTGTACCAGTTTGAGGGGGTTATACAAATGGACGTACGTATACATGCATATTGCACTTGTATAGTACATGTGTATTCGAATGTATGCATGCAATGGTATTGACACTTACATTATTAAATTAGTTTTACTAAGAGTTTTAATTCTTAAATTTGATTCCTAAAAATTTTCACGAAATGGAAGCAGAGTTAAGTGGAAGAAAAGCTAAGATTCACGAAACAGCTAACTCCGGATGTAAATAAAAATTTAGTTTTGTCCGAAAGAGTTTTTTCATAACTCACAATGAAATAATAAACAAAAAATAGTTGGATAGCTTCTGCAACTCCTGCAATTCTATACAAAATTTTCCACTCAAGCAATAAATAAGTAAGATTTTTTTAAAAATCATTCTGGCCCACATAGTTTAGTAACGCAATTTTCAACAGGAAGACACACTTTGAAGAAAAACTTCCTGCTAGTAAATGCATTTGAAGTACCTGAACCACGTTTAAAATTGCGAAAACATAATGAATGATACATTACTTTGATGACCTTGAAGAATATAAAAAGTGTTTACGCATTAAAAACATTTTAAATCAAAAATGTCAGTTAAATCAACAACTGATATCAGTTATGCCAACAAACCAAGAACTTCAAATTATATAACACAATTATAAGGTAAAGTATATTACTGACATTATGATTTGAATTTGTTCGTCAGACTGGTGAAACCAGTACATTGGATATTATCCATTGCAAAAATGAATGCTATGCAGTATTGGGAAAACGGAATGCATCTTTCATGTATTGATATCATGCGTTTTTAATTTTTTAGGAATGCACTTATCAAACTTGTAAAAACTAGCAACAACAACAAAAAAGCATATCTATTTAACAGACTCCATTTCAGTAGTCTGCAATGGCTGACTTTCCCAGACATTATATATGCACATCACATGCATTCGAAGTTGAAAGGCACGTAGAGAGTTCTGCTCCAAAAGCATTTTTTTGTCTCGTTTCTTTGAAGTATGTTGCCTGTAGACAAAATGCTTACACGTATAAAAATAATACGCTCATATTGAAAAATGTGCTTATGCCACACTTCCAGTAAATAGGTCGGTCACCACATGGTTTTTAATTGATATATTAATCTTATTTAACAGAAACTTAGGATGATTGACAATAAAGATGAAAACCTTAGAAAACTATCATCCTAAATCAGCTATCTACCGCCATATTGGTTCATTCATTTGAGCTTAAAAGAGCTACTTTATTAGATGCAAGAAACAGCGGGTAGGTCAGTTACTGTTTTTTTACTTTGCGGTATATTTTTCCAATGCAGACTGAACGAAATTTATTTAAGAAATGATAAATTAGCACAGATGCCTGATAAAAAACATTCGTCCAAACCATTTCCACTTGTTAAAAAATGTTTCGTAACCTTTTTAGCAAGACGTTCATAATTTGACTCAATGATTTCAATAACAATTTACAACATAAAATTTATAAAACAAAAATATTTGATTTTTGTTATAAGTCTTGTTATAAGTCTAGGTTTGACCTAGTTTATAATGTATTTTTTCCCTCCTTTTCCTATACCTTCGTGATGTAATTGGTAGCTTACTCGAAGCGTATCCGAGAGGTCCAGGATTCGAGTTCCCGCTAGGGTACTGCACATTTTTCTCGTCTGCTTCAAAATAACCTAATGACTCTACAAGTGGTGCGTAACTAAAAGGTGATGGACGATAATTCGCCACCACCAGGATTTGGCGATTGGGTTCCCTCATCTCCAACCGACCTTAGGGAAGTATAAAGGCTATTTTCTCTCTCCTTTCTGCATGTCTTCGTGCTGTAATTGCAAGTATGCTCGATATGCATAATCGAGAAGTCCAGGCAGTGCAGGATTTACGTATAAGCTACACAAGCTATAGCTTAGGGCCCCCACTTTCTTGGCCCTCCTCCCAAAATTAAAATATAATATATAGTATTAAAATATAGTATAGCAGACTTACAAAGGGCCCCATATCTCAAATAGCTTAGAGCCTTCTCAAATCTAAATACGGCTGTGAGCCCAGGGTTTGATTCCCGGCGGGGGCACTGCACATTTATCACGTCTTCTGCTTCAAAACACCTATTGACTCTACAAGTTAAATGCAAATAAACGTTTTTCATTAAAACAAAGTTCTAAAAATGAATATAAACTAATATCATATCCTATAATATTTATGAGACTAGGGAAATATTTTCATGATACGCATTTTATCAATAAGATTTAACAAAGAAATTTTACAATCACTAATTCATTCAATGCTATCTTTGTGAGAATATTAAAAAAAATATCAGCGACAGACAAAGATCGTCACTTTTTTGAAATTTTAAGTTAAGCTCTTAAACTGGTTACGGACTTGCAACAGTAAACAAAATACATGAGTAAAACCAAGTTCAATAAGGTAAAATGCCTAATTTTCAAAAACTATACATAGATGTATGAACTAAAGCATTACCATTCGCTTAACATAATCTGAATAATGCTATGCGAATGTGATGCTGCTTATCATAATGTCTCAGATGAAATTGCTGTGAGTCTAAAATATGTCTGTGGCTCCTTAATATACAGTTTTGTTCCAGGTCCTGTTCAGGACTGTATACAATCCTGTTTTTATGTAATTTCGCATTGTCTTCTAAAGCACAATGGCTTCTGGTTAAGAATTATTGGTTTAAACAGTTTGCATGAGATCATAAAGGATGGGTTGTGAAATGAGTGGCGAATGTTTTGTCTAGATTTATGAAAGAGCATTTCTCTGGTACTCACATAAGGGACGGTATTTATATAAGAATAATAAGAGATTCAATCCAACCATTCTGTTAAAAGTACAAAACTTTTACTGCCAAAATGTGCTCTTTTCGTGTGTTGATATTTTTCAAAATAGCTGTATCATCTTTTATGACAACAATGTGCCTAATTATAGAATACGAATAATAAACTTATGATCTCTTTTTTTATATAAAAGGAATCGAATTTCGATGTTGCAATGGATTGTCTAATCGTAATTATTTTAAGAGCAGAGATGGACAATTTAGAAAATAATGGTGGGAAAGATAAAACAGCAGGAGAAAAAAGAAAAATAATAAAGCTATGAAACAAAAAGTTAAGGGAGATAGTAAACCACTTAGGACATCCCAAGATAATCAAGGAAGGATAAAAATGAGGGACAAAAGAGAAGGAAGTATGCATGCAATCACAGTATGGGATGCAAAGGATAAATAAAACAGGAAAATAAGATAAAAAGAGACATTGCCCAGAACTGAGAGCTTTCTGTAAGGAAATGAGGATAAAGTGTTAAGAAATAAGGGTTAAGAATTAGAGGTAGAATAAGAGAATAAGCAGCAAAATTATTGCGTAGAAATAAAAATCTTAATAGCGTGTCATAGGCATTTAGCTACATTCGAAAATTACCTTAATTGACTATTATATTGATTTCGTAGGAAAGAAATTAGAAATAAAAATACAAATAATATTAATTTCAGTATCTCATGTAGTAATAAGTGCCAATAACACAAATGCAGTGCATTTGTGTTATTGGCACTGGCACACGTTTTAGCTTTCTTACGGGTAGTAGGTGCAAATAGCTACATGATTCTCACTTGAAAAAATTTTATTTCATATTTAACTTATTCCCTAACGCCATAGAAAATGTCGAAAAACAAAATTTTAGATGCTAAAATTTAAATTTTTATCCCTCTTTATTGCCACATATCTTCTAAAAAAGGAGAATTTCTTCGTGGTTTTTAACTGAAGGTATCAAGAATAAGTGAAATTGAATTTTTGTCTGGCATTGTTTTCTGTGGAAAATACTCAATAATCTCAAAATACAAACGAAGAATCTCTCGTCTGCAATCGCAAATTTAAAAGTATTTCCAGAATAATGTTTCGGTGAAACAAGAAAAACGTTGATTTGTCTTTCGATGTAAACTGAAATATTTCTGTTGAAATGTAATAATAAATATTATCATTTGAAAATATTTGTTAAATTTTTAATACTAATAAATTGAACTGATATTTTTAAATCATAAAAGAATAAAAACTGCTGCTCATTTCAACGATTGTTGTTAGACTATACATACATCCCGAAAGTCGTTGCTAGGAGACTCTTGAAACTTTTTCGGAATTATTTTTCAGCTTAGGGCACTTAATATTCAGTTTTAAGTATGCCATTTAATATACAAAATACTGGTGTATCGCTTATGCAATAATTATACTTTAAAAATCATTTTTAGTTTTTTAAACTAAACTAAATGTATCCACAGTATAGTTTTCCTACTTAAACTACTCTCAGTGTATGTTTATCTACCGGTACTTTACGTAGAGTTATTTCTTTATTGTCGACAAGTTATCGCTCTGACTAAAATTACCTGTGCCAACCCCTCCAAAAAAATTAAATTTCAGCAAAACTTTATTTGTTCACGCCTAGTGGGTTTAAAGCCAGAAGATACAAATAAAATATCTAATATGTACTGACAGGCGAACTTGCCATGAAATGTGTTAGAACTATCAAATTCAGTTTCTCTCAAACGTGCCTCCTAATTGCTTCCCTCCTCTAATCCCTATAAATATATTTACCAACCTCGAGCAACAAATAAAAACCGCTGCGATTTCCGACATATATTCCCTATCATGAAATAGACTGGCGCTAATTTTTACTCTCAGCAGAGCGGCCTTTTTCTCCACAAGCATGAGCTGCAGTTAAGCTAACTAGCTTTTAAACTCTCTTTCACGTGGTCATAATTTGCTGGTGTGAGATAATGTAAGAGACATGAAGCAAAGAGAAGAAGATAGGAATAATGAATTTAAATTAAGATTAGCTGCTAGTAGAAGTTAAAACAGTTGTCACAACTTTAATTTTCTAAACTTAACTATTAAAAGATCACATGTTTTGTAGCAATATTAAGTTATGACGTCTTAGTTTGAAAAATATTCGAAATGAAAATGTCATATCGTAACATGAAAATAGGCATTATCTCGGTAAAAACGTTTTCCTTACGTTAAAAGACCATGAAGAAATACATAAACATATTAGAGTGATCATTATTTAACATTTCTGTTGTAAAAGACAAAAATATATTATTCAGTCGTTGTCTGAAACTTTATTTTAACTGTCGTTTTGGAAGAAGCAATTTTAGAACAATTAAGTTATTTTTTTACACATTGGAATAACTTTGTTTTTATCAAGACTTGATTTTTTCTCAACAACAAAAGCTATATTCTATACCGTTGTATGTAGAATTTATTTAGTTTACCTTTTTAAAAAAGAATTTAACTAATTGATGCAAAAGCATTTTTGGTTTTAAAGAATTTTTCGTTAATTTATTTTAAAATATTTTAGAACTCTATAGGAAGGTAATCTCTTATGCATACATGTTCACCCCTTCATACAGAGAGCCTTTTTTGGTAGTCAAAACTTTAGTCATTGCTTTCACACATAAAGAACTTTTCATTCCTGTCAGTTCAGGAACTGCAGCAAAGCGTAACTAGCTTGTCATGCTCCGAGAAACCATTTATATAAGTGAGAGTAAAGAAAAGGCAGAAATAAAATGAAAGTTGCACGAATAAATTGAAAATTCAGCATAAGTACAATGACCTTAAAAGTTTGTGAAGGTTCTTCTCAAACAAGAAGTTTCTAAAAAGGATTTTCCCCCCATAATTTTTTTTGTATTATGGAATTTCTTTTCTAGTAACCTAGATGTTTAAAGATTATGAAACTACAAAATGGGTGGTTAAATTAAAATAAATATGAAACCAAGCGATTAGCCATTGCCTGGTTTACGACCAAAGTATTTTTTCAAAGAAGTTTCATACTGTTCAGAACAATTTTTTTTGTAGTTAACAGCTTTATACCCCTCCCCCCCAAAAAAAAAGGAACTGCTTATTCAGTTTACTGAAAATTTTGCTCATCTTATTAAATTACAAATACCTTTTCCGTAGCTGAAATATGTCATTTACAAAATTTTTAAAGTTTCTTAATTAGATCCGAATTCATATAAAAACAACGTGATATTCATAGCAAAAATTTAATGACCATTTGATGACTCAAAATCTTACTTACACACATTATAAATACAAACAAACGTTGACTGTATTTTGAAAGCCATCTTAGCTCATTTTATTTATAAATTTCTCCTTTCTTCATTACAACACTTTAAATCTTTCCTGCGCCAATCCTTGATTAATAGCTTTCATTTCTAGAACTTTCGTATATAATTAATTTAAGTACATTACTTTAAATATATTATTTGCAAAATGCAGCGAATATCCTAGCGAATCATATTTCGTGATCTAGGTTTTAAAACCAAAATATACACTTGAAAATTTCTCTTTGAGAGAAATGTGTGTACAAATCACAGTTGAAATTAATTTCTACAAATAGCTTTTTGTCTCCTACCTCTTTCAACTTGTAAGAAGTTTTGAAAGTTTTGAAGTTTTGAAGTGTTTGAAAATTGAAACCCCTGCTAAGATCGCGACCCACAGTTTCTTGAACTGTGGGTCGCGATCTTAGCAGGGGGGGGGGTTCGCCAAAAATTTTAGCAGTTTTTTATATTTCTTTAACGCATTGTAATAATTTTACAATTACCAAATATTTTTACACAGTGTATTTGAAAATAGATAAAGATAAGACAATATAGACAAAGAAAAAGCGAAAACCTTTGAACGCATTCTTTTTATAATATAAAAATTCATTTTACTTGCTTTGCACGTGACGCTGTCATTCCCGTCTGCTACTTATTTAAAATTTCCACATTGTTCTATGTCTTAAAATTAGAAATTAAAGTTAATGACTTAAAACTGCAATACTATATTACAGTACAAGGGAAAAAATTGCCAGTTTCATTCACGCGTGTGTCGGATTTTTGCTATGTTTATGGGGACCCTACAAAATTTTCGTAAATATTATGGGTTGCGAGTCGCGAAAAAAAACTTAGTGCTAGAAAGGGGTCGTGACTAAAAAAAGTTTAAGAAGCCCTGCTTTAGACCAACGCGGGTCTATGTGCCCTAGCGGACATGTCTTCAGGGAAGACTTTCTAAGAAAAATTGACTTATATTCATATCCGTGAATATTAATCTGAAATTTTCATTTTTTTATATAACTGTAAAAATTAATAGTATATCTGTACCATAAGGTGTCTGTTAATATTTCTGTGGAAACACAGAAAAATTCGTAGGGATATACGTATTTCATAATATTAACAATAAATATAAATAAACAAAGAATGTTAAATATGGCAAAACACCATGAATTTTTTCCGTTTTACAAGTAACGAAATTTATAAAGATTTACATCCGTATCCCTATAATTTTCTTAGTAAGGAAAAGAAGTATTTTCGCTTTTTTAATCGAAAGAATTTCTAAATTTATTTTTAAAGTATTTTGTTTGCCTAAAAGAGTGTTTAATTATGCAATGACATTTCTTTTTATTTACTTTATTTCTGTTGTTGAGGAATACTCGCTTTTGGAATGTTCAAGCAGTATTGCTTTTAATCCACAGAATGTTACAACATATTATTGCAACTCATAAGCGAAATAAATTACATATACCGGTTTTCACAAGTCAGTAAATCTCAACTTTATCTTTCGCGTCGACCCTGACACTCAAACTGGGTCATTTGTTATCCTCTAGATCACTAATAATATGAATCCCTTCTAGGTCCCGGGCCATCAGCTCGAGGCAAAGTTTCTTCAGCAATGGCCTTAACAGTGTTTCCGAATACCTGATGTCCTTGGTGGAAAACTCTCTGGAAGACTTGCCTAGCCTGCCTAGGCTGGAGGCTCAGGAATGCATGAAAAGGAGCGTCTGCGAGGCTCACAATCAACCAAAAAAATATGGACTTATTGGCCTCGTTCTTCAGCTTTTATTCCCGTAAGTTTGAAGCTGTCAAACCATAAAAATACTTATTGTACTGCACTGTTTTCGTTGGTAGTTCAAACTTCTTTAGATATCGATACATTGATTATTCCATTGCTATAATTATAGTCTTACCGCTTTCATTATAAAGAATTAATATTTTTTATATTTTGACAGAAGAAGCTTTCTCAATGTTACTACAGGTTTGTCTCTATAGCTTATTCACTTTTAGGAAGGTGTATATTTCAAAAGTTTCCAGACTTTCCTCCGTTTGGCATATAACTTCCATTTAAAACATTATTTATAAAAATTGTCATTTTGCGTCTGATGTCCTCATTTTGCACGTGATACAATTTTATGAAAAATTTTAATAGATTCTATATGCTTTTAATCTGCAGCTTGTATTTTGATTTTGTGCTTAGAGTTCATTAATTTTATATTTTGGATACATTATAGCGCTATTTCTAATACATTATATGCATTAGAAATAGTAGTGCTACATAGATGTAGCAAAAACCTAATCAAAGTTTTATAAAATTTCTCTTTGTATTAAATTTCATAAAATTTTCGGTTATTATTCGATCCATTTTAAAACTGCTTTATTTTCCCCGTAATATTTGTTTCATTATCTTATGTAATCTCTTGTATAAGGGAACGAAGATCTCTCTCTCTCTCGTATTCGAGCCAGCTTCCTTTAGAAGTCCTCCACGAAGGCATCCCTCCCTGTAGGCAAATATCCCTCGAGGCTTTGCCGTTACTCATATAAGCCAATGGGTAACGGTAGCGCACTCTACATGTAATCGAAAGGTCGTGGTTCGAGGGTATTGCTCATTTTTCATGTCTCCTGCTTCAAAATAACCTAATAGACTCTACAGTGGTGGCCGAACTAAAAGATGGTGGATGATAATTCGTTGGATTTGGTGATTGGGTACCCTCATCTTCAGTCGCCCTTTAAAAGGAGGAATATGTAAAGTATTTCTCCCTCCTTCCAGCATGCCTTCGTGGTGTAACGGTAGCATTAATCGAGAGGTCCAGATTCGAGTTCTAGTGAGGGCATTGCTTATTTTTTATGTACTGCTGCTTCAAAATAAGCTAATGACTCTACACATGTATAAAAAATATTCCTCTCGTAATAGGTTGCTTGAAAACTATTAGAATTAATGCAAAAACTAAGGTAGCTCAAAAATACAAAAAATGACACAAAAAATGGGCTTAACCTGTTTGAAACTTCATAAGAAGTGGCAAATGTTGAAATATCAAATTTGAATCCGTTCTGAAAATTGCTTGAAAATTTTTTAGGGGGAGAAGAAATGAAATTTTGCGGTGATTGAATTAAAATACAATATTTTTAACCATTACTACGTTTAGAACGACAGACACTTAAATGTTGAGGAAAAACGAAACTATCGAATGTTTTCCAAAACGCATACGTTACAAATCATTATATGCTTCCTTAAAACTTGCGATTCATTACTGAAGAAGTGCAGCTCTATCTTTCTTCTTATGGCTGTCATTACGTAAAGTAAAAACATCGTAAAAACCTAATGGTTTTCATAGCTAGCTCAAACTGATTTCTTAGAACTTAAGCCTTTGTAATCTAACTTGAGGAGCAATGCTTTCCAACATCATTTTTGTTGAAAAACACAGAACTGAATACTTCTAAATTAAAGGGGAAATAGAAGCAACACGTAATGGATCCTCAAGGCTTATTGCATTCGTGTCTCTTGAGTCATTCCGAGATGCATTAACTGCTTGATGTTTTGATTTTTTAAATCATTTTGAGCGATTCCGGGGGGGGGGAACTTGCTTTTTTACTCTCCATTTTTTTAAATCTCGTAATGAGAAAATAAAGAACGTTATTATATTTGAAGAAGACGCAATTGCAAAATTTATTACTTCCTGGAATGGCAATGAACCACGAAAGCTGATATTGTCCCAAATCAGAAAAAAAAAAAAAAAAGTCAATATAATCCGTTATTCTTTTTACAACAATGCAGTTGCGTAGGATGTGTAATCCTAGGGAATACAAATGTTACCTTTCTAGAAGCTAATCCTACTGTCTTACAAAATTCCGTATACATCAGTTATTTTCTCACGAATGAAAAGTATGGGAGAATAATACTGTACATAAAGTCATATTTGATAATTGTTTTGACTTGAAAAATCTTTTACCTTACGTTTCTGGTTTTTGCTCTCACTTACAGAATTTTTGCTTTATGATTCTGAACATTATATTCGAGTGACGAGAGATAATCGACTGTAATTACCTTTTGTAAGATTTATTATACAAGAATAGTCATCAACAGATTTTTGTATGCACAGTGTTGCATTTTTAATTGATTTTCAAAATTTAACTTTGTCATGCAGATTTTTAATGGAAAAAAACGCATGACGTAGAGAGATAAGTTAGTTTTATTATAGTTGCTTTGTAAGTAAAAGCAACTGAGTTCTTTATCATTTGAGTTATGAAATAATAAAGCAATTTTTAAATAATTGCTAACTGTTACCATTTTTTTTTAAAGATTTAAATTATTGAACTGATCACAGGTAAAGATTAAATTTATTTCTAGTCTGAAATTTTTACAGACATCATCAAGTACGCTTATTAGCCATTTCACAATTTTGCTCATTGCATGGTTTCGAATAAAAATTTCTCTAAATTAACACAGTTAATACATTTTGATTAATTTATGCAAAAAAATGCATAATAACTTGAAAAAATATATTCTTGTAATATGCTATACTTTCAATATATTATTATAATAATAAAACTAATATTTCAAAATATTAATAAAATTTCAAATAAATAAATGTTTGTTTTGGGGATGTTAAATTAAGAATAGTCTCCGCTGTTTAGTTTATGTATCAAAATGTATTAGAAGAAAACAGTGATCAAAATTTATACACGTCAAAACTTCCAAAAATTATGCAACTAAACAATGATATCAATAGCAAAATGTTTCAATGAATGACACTCCTGTACTGTAACAAGTAATATCTACTTGAATATTTCAGTTGCGGTGTGGCATTTTCAGTAACCAAATTGCTTTTTAGTTTATATCGTCCCTGTTGCCTCATTTTGTTCTGAAGTAACAACCCTACTTCAAGCGACCGCTGAGGCAAATACATCAAGATAGCCGGAAAACAACATGCATTTAGCATGTTAATCGCAGCGACTAGCGGAACCTGGATTTTGTCCTAGGTTCGCTCATTACAGAAATTTATGCGGACCTGAATGGAAAGAATTTGAATGTTTATTATCAAATTATAGGAATAGCTTGTAACGGTATGTGAAAGTATGTGACTTGATGATTAACCGCTGCAAATGTAAAATCTCAAAGCAAACTTGCTTGGTAAGTTCAGATTTTACGTAGTTGTTAATAGTTGTCAGAGAACTTGTAACCTGTATTACAAGTTAATTAGATACTGCAATTCCAAATAGTTTAAAGGAACATCTTGTGTTCAGTATCAGGTCCAGGTGACTCGTAACTTTGTGTCGCAATACTTTACTTACCCTCACAAGGAGCGAGATAGAACACACAAGGAGCGAGAAGTTAAAGTAATATCTGTATCTGTTTGCTACGTTACGTTAGAGGTAAAAATTCGATAAAGAACTTAAATAACATCTAAGTAAATCGCTTTTGAGTTAGTTAAAATTATTTTAAGCCTCAGGCAGGTGTTACAGCAGTTTATGTTAGTTTTCAAAACCGATTATTTTGAGCAAGATGAAGATTTTTTTCCCCGAAGCAGAAAGAAATTTTATTCTTAAATATGAATTTGGAAAGCAGTCTTATGGATAACTTGTTGGTGTTTAAAGAGATCTCTTCTAATGTTCTCGAAGCTAACAAAACAATATTAGGGAAATTAGAAATGTTCGTCCCAAAACATTAATTTGCTACCCTTCTCTTCTGAGTTCGAACATAATGGGCGGAGTCAGAAATAAAATGTTGCAGTCACCAAGAAAGAGTGTAAGAAAGATGGTATCGCAATCAAACTTATCAATTGCGAAGTAAAACTCAATCATAAATAATGCAGAGTATTTGAGAAATAATGCTGAGTTTTGCACTCAATCAAAGGTGGAGAGTGTTTTTCTAATAGAGGCAAAACTAATATGAGAACACCAGTAAACACAAAACGACAAGTTTACTACTTTTTTTTTAAATTTGTGTTGAGCATTATTTTAGAATATCTTATATCACATTTGGTTTTTTTTTCCTTTTTTCCACTTTGCGTGAAGCAAGTATCCTATATTTTTTTCTTTTGGAGCATAGCGTAAAATTTCCAGTCCATTTTTTTTAACCTCCTTACGATCGATTATTTGCTGCGTTTTTGATATGCGACAAACAACGACAAACAGCATGCCATACCTTTTACTTCAGTTAACATGCCACTATATTTTACTTCAGTTTAGAAAAGATGCAAAAATAAAATATACAGGCAAGGATAAATAAAATATGAAAGAGAGTAATATATAATAAAATATGCAGGAGAGTTTGTCTATTAGAGGTTCCTTATATTAGGATTCAAAAACCATAATGAAAAGCTCCAAAAATGGTAGAATGATCTATAACAAATTAACCTCTAAATAAAACAAAGGAAATAAACTCATTTGTAGTCTAGCGTGATGCCAAAATAAGAGTTTCATGAAGAAATTGCGTAAAACTGGGTAAATTCAGTTTGATGTTAAGAGATTCTGAAGCAACAAGAATCAGCGTATGTTGCTTATTGCTTCTATATCTCCAACATGAATTTTTCAGCGTATTATTTTATTTAATATAGTCTTATCATGTTCAATTTACGCATTTCTTTAAGCGTTTCTAGTAACTGAAATTTTGCTTTGCGGAGGTAAGTCGATTGCACCTCTTCATGTACTTTCATATCTACATTGAGTGCAGATATACTAGAGTTTATTTACACAAGTGTAAAAAGCTTTTACACTAAAGGTGTAAAAGAATCCAATCCCGTCGCCTTCAGCAGGATGGTAGCTCTAATATTCCTTTCTGTGACTGTGAAGAAAGTGTTACCCTTTCGTTTTACAGGATAAAAATATGCCTATTTCTTGCTTAGGATGGATTTACTAGTGGCTGAATCGGATAATATTCATATTTCTTAGATGCGATTTCTGGAAACCGGCAGGCTTAAAAGAATTTTCGTGATACTTTTGTTGTGTATCGTGACAATAAACCGGTTTCTCAAAATAAATCCTTTACGATGATATATCGTCTAAGTTATATAGTTTTCACATACTTTGCCAAAATCAGTTAACTAATAAACAAACGGTGTATCTCTTATCTCGTTGTATTTCTTCTTGAATCGTAAAAAATTCAGAATGCTTTTCATCTTCAAGAAAAAAATCGTCAAGTTTTCCAAAGAATTTTCTGGACATCTAGAAGAAATTTCTGGATGGTATTACCAGAGTGTGGACTAAGAATAACTATATTTTCAATTATCTATGCTGTTAAGGGAACATATGGAAGCACATTTATGCTTTCAGAATCTGTATCCTATATTTCTCATATTTATGAGTATTTCACTTCTTATTTCATCTACTTGTTTAATGCATACTGTATACTACACATCAGTGTTTCTCACGTTTTTTGCACATCCGTGTATAGTACCAATTTACTGAGATTAATATCTAATTGTTCTGAGAGGGGGGGAAGAGAAAAAGAAATGTTCGAAAATAAAATAATGTGATAAAAAATCCTACACAATTATTTAAGATTATATATAATATAGACTGATAATTATAAATAAAGATATAAACAAGCAAAATTTCAAAATGTTTTGTAACCCACATGAAATGTGTTTGTGCTTTGTGGTTATTGGAATATGGCGAAGTATACAAGAGTTATGTACTCGAAAGGAGGAAAGACTTCCTGGAAGACATTTTAGAGGAGACACAGGGAAAACCAGCAATGCAACTAGTCCATTTAACTGGGTTCGAGCCCGAATCTAGTTTTCAGTATTCTTCAGAATTCAGAGCCACTCGGCCATTGGTGGGCTCCTCACTTTGAGGAACTTGCTACATTCTGCTTGCTACATTCCATGGTTAAACATCGTTTACAAGGTTAGTCGGTAGCAGTTTCTTAAACAGAATAGACAAGGCAGGTTTTTCTGCTTGCAAGCATTTTGGCATCTTAACACCTTTCTCTTTCTGTAAAAATATATGCAAAGTTTCTTCTTCATTCATTCTTTTTGTGTGAAAATTTTACAAGTTACAAGTTTACAAGAATCAAAATTACAAGTTCACAATAAATGCTTAAAAATAACAGATATACCAAAGGAAATAAGTTTAAAAGATGACGCATATCATGCCTGTTGTCTTTGCAAATTTTTGCCTTCTTTAGTATTTAAGAGATATTTAGTTGCAAGAATATTTTGAAATGCATTACTTATTCTTTTAGTCTAAATTGCATAAAGGTGCTGGCACCTTCTTGCAAGTTCGCATAAGGACAACCCGGCATTCTAATGAAATTCAGTTTCTGCTATGAACAAATAATACAACCTTCATAAAGATACTGAGGATGCTTAGGTGAAGAGCAAAGTGAATAGTCACAGACTGGCATAAAGATATTGGCACATTTTTGCAAATCAGCTGTTGTTCGCCAAGACACGAGGGGTGCCCAGAACTGTTATGAATTCAGTTCATACCGTAAGCTCCATCAAGAATATGGGCATCTGGAAGCCCAAATTTGGAATTTGTTTTTTTTTATCTATTTCACATTTTGTAAAACGTTATCGAATTTTTTATTAAAAAATTCAACTATTTCAAAGCAAGCAATGGCAACACTGTACGAAAAAAAAACGTTTTTATCTCCAGCGCGCAAGACTGTGTATGGGAAATTCTAAAGATATGCTCATTTTAATATTATTTTACGACATTGGTGTTAAACTGAATTTTATGATTTAAGTGCGAAGGACATGATATTTAATAAATAAAGGTAACACAAAAAACCTTAACAAAACGCCTCTTTGGGCGTAATGTAAAATCTGAAAGCTTTCAGTTTTTTACATTTTTTTATTAAAATTTTTTTTCGTGTCATTCAATCCTTTTCTTCCAGTGAATTTATTGCTTTTTGCTGCATGAATCATGCAATTAAGATTAATGTTTCACAATTCTTAAACCATCGATATCAGGTGACAAAGCGGACTTAATGGCCACAGGAAAGCTCTAGAAATTTATTGGAAGTTCAAATAGCTCCACGTGTCTCTGTTTATATCAATTAAAGAAATTATGCCCTACGTATTAAATTCCAGTTTCAAATAATAATTTTTATCTTCATTTCTTTTTTCAGACCATATACGAAAACGGAGGATCCCAACAACGTGGTTTCTAAGTACCAGCTAGCTGCAAGATATGGCCGACAGAGCAATGCAAATTGTGGTGTGCAGTATGATGGGTGCATGTTGAATTTGCTGGATATCGTCCAAGCACTAGTTAATGCTTTCATACGATAATATCAGAAATTTCTGATGAAACTGTAGCTCTGCATACAGCGAAATAATTTAAGAAGAAAAGTTGTGTCATTTGTATTTATTTCATGTTCTATTACATACTGATGATTGGTTTCCATTGGATGTAAACTGTTTCATTTATTTGTGTTTTGCTAAGATTTTTAAAAATATTATCAATTTTAAATATTTTTAAAAGGCCATTCGAGGATAACAGGACCTGGAATTTTAAGAATGTTTAACATAACTAACAGCATGTTATTAATATAAAATATACTTATAAGCTAATATTCTTTAAAAATGCTACTATAAGAAACAAAGAAATGCAAAAAGCTTTTATTAATGAGCTTTGTTAAGTATAATATTGGTATTAAACTTTAAATGGGTATAATGTTATGTAGTTTCTGCAGTATGTGACTGAATTTTTAATAAATATTAACTTAGTTGTTGCTAAGCTATGCTTTTTTTTAATTTGAAATTGACTATGGAGTAGAATTAAAATATTACTCAGTGGAGTTATTTTGTGATATTTTGAGAATATACTTCAGTACATATCAATCAATTGAATATCATTTACAGTTTATCGTTACAGAGATAATCCTGTTTTATAAGTATTGTTTACAATGTAAATATTTCTTTCAGCTTTTTCTAATAAAGAAACTCATTTTAATTTATTTTGCGACAACAAATTAACAATCATTAACCTCTGAGTTAGCAAAACATTTCATATTAAGGAACAAAATTGCATAATTAGTTAATAATGATATTTTTAATAGTATGCTCCATGCTGTAAGTGAATCTTTTATAAATTAATTTTATTTATTTTATGTTTGAGATTTGCTTTAAATTAACCTGTAAGACTATTATATTATTTATGCATCTTACTATTAAGGATGTAGTATTCCTGTGAAAATGGTACTATGAAAGCATGAAAATATGGACAGAGTGGAAATACTTTTATTCTGTTTAGTTTACAAAGTTCTGCAGGAATTATTTTGAAATTCTAAAATATCAATGATAAGTTTATCCTAACAATTCATAATGTAAAGTAATTCATGGTGTAATTTTTAAGCAGTAACTTATCTGATTCTGAACATAAATTAACTGGAAGCATAACCTTAAAGAGCAGTTTATTGTGACAAGTATTACAGTATTTGATATATTTCATACTTTTAAATGCTGCAATCGAAATTTTTGTTAACATGAATGCAGTAAAATATAATCTAGAGAACCATAATGCAATTGAATACAGTGCCTTGATGTTCTATAAAATGTAAGAAAATTTATTTAATTTTAGATTTCATTTTTTTATAATGCATTTTTTAAATCAAACGAGCTTAAACACTTGTTGTGCCTGCACGTAGTAGAATTCTTCTTGAGTATTTGTAATTTTCGTCTCTCTTAATGGCTTTTATCTTAAAGTGTATACTATTTAGTTACAGCATTATTTAATTTACATTACTTAAGCATTGTATTACTTAAGTAGCACTTACGCATTTTGCTGTGTGTAATGTTATTTGAAAGAAAGAATATATGTGTTATTTATTACGTAGCTCGATAAGTTTTTGCCAATATTCTGTATGTTTTAAATGTGTATTTATTTCCCTGTTATTTATGAATAATTAGTGAATGTCATGTTCAAAACATATCATGTTCGTCTCAAGTATGTGTAATCTTTTTTTAAATTCTTAATAAATACCTTTTGAATGAAAATTGAGTTAAATGTTTTTATTACTGTGTCTTTATAAACGGAAGTTTTAGGTTAATATATGGAAAACAAAGTTTTAGAAATGCTACGTAAAGATTTTCGAAAAGGGTTAGAATTTTTTATCTACTATTAAAAATTGAAGTTATGATTAATGGTGATGATCATTCGAATATAATTCAAATGCTATGTAACACCTAACTTTTAAAGCCAACTAGGTGTTACTTGTGTTCTGTGGGTGGATTGTCAGCGCAAGCTTTACTTACAAATATTATATGAAAATTCTGGCATTGTTCACTTCAATTCGCAACTTTCATTGAAAGACATTAAAAAAGTAAGATCATTCTGGGTATTGTGAAACACGTTTTTTTATCTGCTATTATCAGGTTTTGTCTCCTCTCATTTTTCTTTGTAATCCACCATACATTCGCAAAATATGCTTCATGATTTGCTTTTGCGAAAGTGTAAGGATCTTAAGTTTTACTAACGTTTATTTTATTTTAAATCTTTACTATCACTTCTTATTTTCTACTTCCGGCCAGAATTATAAGCGTGAAGGAGTTTTTATGCAAAGTTTGTCTGGCGAACGCCAAGTATTTAAGTGTGGCCTTTTTGCCAAGCAGAGAGAGAGGAAGCCGTGAGTTCGAAGCAGGCCGCTTACCTTAGAAGTTACGCAGTTGCTACTACTTTGCCTTCCAGGCCAGAGGTTTTAATCCTCTTGATAAATTAAACGTATTGTAGTGTTCACAGTCTCTGTGCTACATACGCTTCCTGTTATTATAAGGCCAATCTTATTCTAAAGTTAAATTAGAGTTTAGTTTTATTTTGATATCTTTTAAGTTAGACCCCGAGTGGAGGGTCATTGTATTCCGAAGTACGGAAGTCATTGTATATAAAGAAAAATAAAGGGTTTTGTATACCCTTCGTCTGTATCCTGTCTACTTACTACAATTAGTGAACATAGCTTTAGTAGTAAGCTCTCTGTTCCTAGTCAGGTCATTGTATGTTTCCGAAGAAGGTTAGAAGAAGAACATTGAACCTGATAGTGGCGCCCGACGAAGAATAACCATGGCCGAGTTTCAAGAAGAACCTGTGCTGCCTGCAGAAACGGCTCAGAATCCAGAAATGCCAGCTGCCGCCCTGGAAGGATTTGGGTACATTGTCCAGACCATGCGCGCTTCGATGAAACCAGAAGCAACGTTTAATGGAAACTCACAGGTAACCAGTTTTTTGGAAAAATTGGATGACCACTTCATGCTCTCTACCCCGTGCACGAGTTTCAAAAAGTTACCTTAGCTACCAGCGCTTTGAGGGGCCAAGCGCTTAACTGGTTCAAATGTATCGGCAGAAGTCTCTTGGGTCAAGCAGGAAGTCCCACCTATACTTACGAAAATTTCAAGACTGCCCTACTAAAAGCCTTCCCTGTTGTAAGGGATCGTGCGAAATTAGAAACAGAACTTTTCAGTATATATCAACAAAGAATGGAAAACCTCTCGAGCTTTATTTTAAGAAAAATTCACGTTTTCAAGCTCTTGTATGGAAACCGTCCGGATCCTGAAATAATTCAAGTGATTTTGCCGAGGTTACTACCCCAAGTGCAAGACTTTATTGAATTGAGAAATCCGACTACACTGGAAAAGTTATTTGAGCTAGCAATCCAGTTTGAAAGTAGAAGAACGGCGGACGTCGAAAGAAGACGCCAATATCAACAGCGAAACCAATTTGGTACGCCAAGACTACAGCAAACTCAAGCACATGGCTACGGAGAAAAAGCGAATCAGTGGGCAAGGAAACCCGAGCATTCAAAAACAGCCGGCGAACGTCGACAGTTCAATAGCAACCCAGGAAAAAAGTCTCAAGGCCAGTGGAGAAAGAAGGAAAGCACCGAAAGGAAAAATAATTTAAACTAAAACGGATTTCTGCTGACGAGAGGGTGCGGAAATCCGAAGGCCACGAAAACCCCTCTTCCTACAAGTTAAATACAGTAATGGTGAAAAATTTAACTCTTCCGAAGATTGAAGTCTTGGTAAATAATATCCCGGCCACCGCACTCCTGGATACCGGCGCGCAGTGTTCCTGTGTGGCAGAAGTCTTTTTTAGAAAGTATTTTCGCAAATACCGCATATATAATGCGGATAATACAACAGTATTAGCGGCGCAAGGAGAACAATGTAAGTGCGTAGGTAAAGTACCTTTGTACATCCGTATCAAGGACGAACAAGTAAAGGTGATGTTTTTTTATAGTAAAGAATTTGCAAGCACATTTAATACTAGGAATAGACTTTCTTTCAGACGCACAAGCTACACTGGATTTTAATGAAGCGTCCCTTAAGCTGACGATGAAACCAGTGCGTGTAGAAAAGGTTGAACCGCCAAGGTTAAATCTTGACCACCTGCCTAATGACGAGCAAGATAGAATCCGACAAGTGGTAAGTGAATTTGCTTCCTTATTTAGTGATATTCCAGGATTTACCCAGGTTACTAACCATAGTATTGACACCGGAGATGCATTGCCGGTTCGTCAAAAACCATACCGGTATGATAAGAATAAGGAAAAAATTATAGAATGGCATATTACCGATATGCTACGTAAAAAGATCATAACGCCCTATCTCAAGTAGTTATGCTAGTCCGGTGGTTTTATGTAAGAAAAATAATGATTATCCTTTGGAGCATCCAAAAAGGTGGAGATTCGCTATTGATTACCGTAAATTAAATTCCATAACGAAATATCCGGTATATCCGTTACCGATTATAGAAGAAATTTTAAGGAACATAAAATCAACCAAATTTATGACGACTTTAGACTTAACGAATGGTTATTTTCAAATAGGGATCAGGCCTGAGGACGTGCCTAAGACTGCTTTTATAACCAAGTCTGGCACTTATGCATTTTTGCGTATGCCGTTTGGCCTTTCAGGCGCCCCAGCAACATTTCAGCGATGCATGGACATTGTGTTAAGACCTGTTCTTCGGAAAGTCCACATTTATCTATTTAGACGATATCATTATTACTAGTGATAATCTAGACCAACATGTACAGGATTTAAGACAGGTGTTTTCTTTATTAAATGAGGCCGGTCTAAAAGTTAATGTCGAAAAATGCAAATTTGCAGCCCCTGAATTAAAATATTTAGGTTACAAAATATCGCAAAAAGGGATCGAGACAGATGAATCAAAAATAATCGCTGTACAAAAGTATCCGACTCCAAACACGGCAAAGAAGCTCTCTTCTTTTCTAGGACTTTGTTCATATTATAGGTCCTTTATAAAAGATTTTGCGGCTATCGCTGAGCCATTGTTAAAATTAAAAAGGAAAAAGGCAAGATTCTCGTGGACGGCCGAAGCCAATAGTGCTTTCGAAAAATTAAAACAAGCATTAACGCAAGCCCCTGTGTTGAAATTTCCTGAAAAGGATGAAAATTTAGAAATTTCAGCGGATGCTTCGGATTATGCGGTAGGAGCGGTACTTTCGCAAAATCAGCAGCCCGTGGCATTTTTTAGCCGAACTTTAAATCAAACACAAAGAAACTATTCCGCGACCGAGAGAGAGGCACTTGCAGTTCTGTTAGCAGTGCAAAAGTTCCGAGTCTATTTTGGAAAGGCGCCGATAACAGTATATTCTGATCATGCGGCGGTAACTAGATTGTACTCTGGAAAAAATTTATCCCCAAGGTTAATAAGATGGGCACTCAAGCTGCAAGAATATAATCTGGTAATCAAGCATACCCCCGGAAAGGAAAATATCGTAGCAGATGCCCTATCACGAATTAAATTAGACGAACAGGGTAATACCGTAAAGAAAAGTTGCAATGCTGACAGCGTGTACAATAAATTCCCGAGAAACTGTAATAACCGAACTGGGTAAGGATCCTGAGTTTGGAAGTATTTATGAGTATTTGAAGGATCCTGAAAATTTTAGCCACCAAGATATTGTGGCGATAAGAAATAGGGCGGCCCATTACGAACTAATAGATGGTCTATTATTTTATACAAAAACTACGAATTCCAACAAACGAATTTCGACCTGTTATCCCAGCTAGTCTTAGATTAAATATCCTGCAAGAGCTCCATGACAGCCCTTTAGCTTCTCATGCTGGTATTCGAAAAAAACTACTCAACGCGTACGCGAGGCAGTCTACTTTCCTGAACTGCAAAAGTTAACAAGGGCGTATGTCCAGTCCTGCCCAACATGTCAAGCCGTTAATTATATTAATTTCCGCCCGGCCGGGTTTCTAAATAGTATTAAATCCGAATTTCCAAATGAAATAATCGGCATCGATTTATTGGGCCCTTTCCCAAAAAGTCAGTTAAACAAAAGTCGCTATCTCCTTGTTATAGTTGATCATTTTAGTAAATGGACCGAAATTGTTCCCTTAAAACGAGCCTCCGCGAAATTAGTTACCGATTCTATTTTAAATAAATATATTTTAAAATACGGGGCGCCCCTAAAAGTTATATCGGATAATGGTCCTCAATTTGTAAGTAATATATTTGAAGACATGTGCCAAAAACTGGGCATACGTCATTTAAAAATGGTCCCGTATCGGCCGCAATCAAATATAGCGGAACGGGTCAACAGAAATATAGTGAAAATTATCCGTAGTTATGTTAAAAATTTTCATAAAAGCTGGGATAACTATGTCAATGAATTTGCTTTCGCCCTTAGGACCGCAAAACATGATACAACGGGCAAAACTCCTGCTGAGTTATTTCTAGGCAGAAAGATTATAACACCGTTAGATAAACTATTTTATGTGCAACAAAGAGCCCCAGAATTTAAAATGGGTGATATAGAAAAACTAATAAAAGAAGCAAAAAAGAATACGGAAGTAGCACAAAGAAAACAAAATTGTATTATGACTTGAAACGACGGGGAGTAACTTATAAAGTAGGGGATGAAGTTACTAAAAATTAAGCATTCACTTTCTTCAGCACCAGAAGATAAAACTGCCAAATTTTTTCCACGCTTTGAAGGACCATATGTTATAGAAAAAATAACTCACGC